CTACCGTCCATCCGTCCATCCATCTATCCGATTTATTTGCCCCCCATGTCACTTCACAGCAGCTCCGGCCAGCTCACAACATTAACCCCGCCAAAACCTTCCTAAAAACAAACCTTAATGAAACGGAAGAACTTTCGCGGCAGCAGAAGGCAACCAAGCTGGGGAACACCTCCCACCCACCCACCCACCCCGGTCTCTAAGCCCCCTCCCCTCCGCTTCTACCCAGCAGCTGGCTTCCCCATCCCACCAGACCCCGTGGTGGGGGCAGTGGTGGGGGCAATCGTAACCAGCGAGCAGCTCTCCCTCCTCAAAGCTGCCTGGAAAATGCCTTCATTTTATCTCCATCAGAATTTCCCTGCCGGTGGGTGGGTGGGTGGGAAAAAGGGGGTGACGGACACAGGCAACACCCACTTCTGAAGACCCTATTTTGCTTAAGGCACAGGAGGGACGGGGACTGTCTCCCCTCTTCTTTCCTTAACACAACCTGCCTTTGTCTGGAGGGAAGAGAAAGGAAAAAAAGAAGAAAGGGAAATTAAAAAAAAACAACCACCACACAACCTGCTTATTTTCTCCCCTCTCCTTTGACGCTTGGACCAAATTCCTTCTGGGTGAAAATTCAATCAACAGGATATATGAGCTGGAACCCGAAGGCTTATCGCCAAGAGGCAGGGAGGGCAGAGCGAACGGCTAATAGAAAGAAGAAAAGAAAAACAGGGGACACACACACACACACACACACACACACACACACCTTTTGCCAATGAATTGTGCATTTCCCAATTCTTCTGTTTACTCAGAATGAATGAATGCAACCCCACATTGACTCTGGCACTATTAATCCAAGCAATAACGATCAGCTTAATTACCCTTATTATTGCAATCCTAATAAACAAAGCGGTCTTGTATTAGAGGAGGGTGGCTTTTTTTTCTCTTTTTTTGCAGGAATGGGGTTTTGTTTTTTTCCTGCACCGACCTCTGTTGCTCGTGACACAAAAATTTAATGTCGCTGAATATTTTATCGGGCTCAGGTTAGATCTGCTCTCCCAACCGTGAGTGCTTACAGGGATGGCATCCTCAATTTTTTTTAAAAAAATAAAAATTTTTGCATTCCAGCAAATGGAGGAACCCCCCCCCCCCCCGTTACAGCGGTCCACAAGCTCATCCAACCCCTAAAAAAATTGCACAGCCACCCTCCCTGCAAAAAAAAACAACCCATTTCTGCTTGCCCCGGTTCAAAATGCACCATGATGAAAAAGCGTTTTCAGACCACATCCTGCGTTTTGCGTCCAAAATATTGATTTATTCCACGTAGGGCATATCACACACAGACTGGCGATAGATATCAGTGTTCCATTTAGATTGGAGGTGGGGGGGGGAAATAACAAACCGCAGTAAAGTATGAATGTTTAAAGAGATGTATTCAGAAGCCGGTGTCTACACTTAAGAACGTAGCTAAACATTGAAATGCAGCATCGTTGATATGAAAATAATAATAATAATAATAATAATAATAATAATAATAATAATAATAATAATAATAATAATAATAATAATAATAATAATAATATACTGGACCGGTATAATCAGATACAGCTGGTCTAACCACCTTTTCTGCCAGCCATACGCCATCCAATTTGGCTTACTTATCACGCTGTGCAGCAAAACCAAAGCGTCCCTTTAAAGCTAATCCTTTTATACGCCAATTCTCAGCAGAAGGTCGCTGCTGCGGTGTATTTTGGCCATTGCAAATTCCACAGAGCAGGTTTTTTTTGGGGGGGGGAGGGAGAGTGGATAAATTTCACCCTCCTGGTCCTAAGACACAATAAAGCGGCAGCAACTGTGGATCAATGAATAACAGGGTTGGAATGGACCTTGGAGGTCTCCGTGCTTGAGCAAGGAGAGTCTATACCAAATATTAGCCTCTACCTAGAACCGAACTCACAGCCTCCTGATCAGGGCAAGTTTGCACCCACCCTCTCGTTCCTCCCCAACTCTTGCTATATGGGGGTCCCTCTATCCACACTTCCCACCATGATGGGTGTGTAATACCCACAGGCCCACTGCCTCTGAACCCAAACTATACACCTATTTGTGCGTTCCCTTTCCCTATTCTGGATTCAAGCGTATTGTTTCCCTCTATAAATCAAGCTGGCTGAATATCATTTTAACAGAATGAACAGAGTTGGAAGTGACCTCAGAGGTCTTCTAGTCCAACCCCCTCCTCCCTTGCTCACGCAGGAGACCGTACACCATTCTGGACAAAACGGCTGTCTAGTCTCTTCTTAAATACCTCTTTTTATCCCTCCCATAATATATTTCTGCCACTGTCCCCCTCTTGCAAACCTTCTGATCTACCATAATAAAAGCTCTGAATTGGGGGGACACACACACACACCCCTCCTTGAACAAGGTTGCTGTAGGTTTAAGCTTGTCATGGTGCTGTTGTGGGCATCTTTTTTTAGCATCTTTTTGGCTGGTCTGATTTTTAGCAGCCACGCATAAGACCTGAGATTAGTAACAGGGTCTTTTCAATGCTGGGTAAATCAAGGTTTCTTTCTGTGCCCCCCCCCCCAATACCAGCTTCCATGCCCAGAACCACAGCGGGGGCCCAGAACCAAGGATTCCTTTGCAAAGGAAACCCAGGCTGTGCATGTCACTGGGTTTTGGTGTTTTTTTGCAAAATGGCTCCAGGCAAGCTCACTTCACACAACCTCTTTCCTGCCACCAGAGCCCCCGCCCTCCCCAAATGCTGCTTCCTCCCTCCCCCCCCCCCCCCCCCCCCCACCAGGCCCCCGGCCCCCCCAAAGGGCGCCCCCCCCCCCCCCCCCCCCCCCCCGGAAAAAAGGCTGGCGGTTTCCAAAAGGAGCGATCCATACCCACATGCATCAGCAGCGCCCAGCTGCATCCATGCCACAACCTCTTGCACCACAGGTAGAGCTTAGCCTTAACGTACTGGGGCGTGTGTGTGTGTGTGTGTGTGTGAGCACGCACGCGAGGGTCTCACGCACATCTCGGCAGCATGCATGTACCTACGTGTTTCTCATGCACACCTCAGGTAGTTGCAGCGTGGCATACGCACGCGTGTATACATATGTATCTGGTGCACCACTTGGGCAGTTGCAGCGCGGCTTGTGCATGCATGTACACGTATGTGTTTCGCGCAGCTCTCGCGGGCAGTTGCATCGCGCACGTGCATGCGAGTGCGCGCGCGCGCGCGTGTGTGTGATACAGCTTTCCCGACGCCAGCTCGTCCCCTGCTGGCTGCAAAAAAAGGGTTTTTTTGTTTTTTTTGTTTTTTGCACGGGGGTGGGGGTAATCGAGACAGCTTTGCATGGGCATCGGCTTGCAAAGCGCCTTCCGACGTGTGGTTGTTAACTCCCCCCCCCCAACCCCCCCCTCCCCCCCCAGCTTCCCGTGCATTGCACAAAACACCACCTCCCCAAAGGCAGGTCATAAGGGGGCGCCCCCTCAAGGTCAAGCACAGCCCAGGAGGGAAGGGAAGGAGTCTTTTTGCAAACCCGGGTCAGCCCAAGAACAACCCCGGTCGGCTGTTTCCCCCACCCCGTTCACACGAGCAGGCGCTGACCCGCGTGTTTCCTCGCCAAATTTGGGACCCGTGCAATGAAAAGGGGGGGGTGCAAGAAAACCTTATTCCCCCCCCGCCCCAAGCTCCCACCCACCCACCCTCCGCGGAGTCTCCCCCCTCCACCTGCGGGGCTGGGCGCCGTCTCGGTCTCCGTCCGGCCGCCCGGTCCTCGGCTCCAGCCTCCCCTTCCCGGGAGCGGCGGCGGCGGGGGCGATCAAGCAGGCCGCAGAGGGGCCCGAGCGGGAAGCAGCAGCGGCGGCGGTGCGAAGGGGAGAAGTGCCGCCGCCCGACTGGAGGGGAAGACGGGCACCGCCAGCAGCTGCTCCTGCCCGCCGCTGGGCGAACCGTTACAGCCGCTGCGGAGAACTACGACTCCCGGCAGCCCGCGCGGCGGCGGAAAGGGGCGACGGCGGCGCGGCCGCGAGGCATGCCGGGAACGGTAGGCAGCACAGCGGCCAATCGGCTCTCTCGCTTCCGATGAGAGGTTCGGTGGGCAGGAAGCCCGCGTGGGGCATGCCGGGGGTCGTAGTGCGCAAAGTTAATCCTGGTTCTCAGAGCGGCGGCTTGTTCGGACGATCCTCGGACGCTCCCAGCGCGGTTGGAGGGTTCCCGTGTTGTGGGCATGCAGCCGGCTCAGGGGTGTGTGACACTGTGTGCAGGGGGCGGGGAGGAGCCCCGAAAGTGGGCTTTTAGGTAACCGGGTTCCCCGACACGTGTGAATGCGGTCTCACTCTCCCAAGTAGGCGGCTCCGTTTTAGCCCGCGTTGTGCGGAATTAGCCAGAGACCGTGAGATTTCGCTGTAACGTGGGAATTCGGGAAATTGGGGTGACTACAACGGAATAGCAGAGTGGGAAGGGTCCCTGGAGGTCATCTAGTCCAACCCCCCCCCCCCCGCCGGAGACCCTACGCCCCCCCCCCCCCCCCCCCCCCCCATTCCGCACAACGCGCGCCAAAACGG